AACCAAAAAAAAAAAAAAAACCATCAAGTCGCAGATAAGGTCACACCAATATACTAATATTCCACTACATATGACTATAAATGGAATAGATCAGAAATTTTGGTTAAATGAAATAGTTTCAAAAATGGGAATTTGAAAACTTTGTTATAGCAGATCTCGAGTCATTTTTGCTACCTGGTATTACTCTACTAATGATATTGCACAAAATACCTTCTATTCTTATAACAAATTTCTTGGCGTTCAATAAGTAACTCAACCTGTAATACCATATTTATAATTAATTAAGATACCCGTTTTGAAATGGGAGTAAAAAGAGTTATAAAGGGTTTCATGATTTTTTTTTAAAAAAAACAATGAAATCATTTATTATCCAGTTGGAGTAACAGATTTCAATAAAAGGTAATAATTATTTGTTAACTTTAAGGCTAATTTCAATGATTTTTCTCAATGATAAATATATAAAACGGATTTACAGCCACAAATATTTTCTGTTTCATTATTATGACTTTATAATTATCATTGTTCCTAATAATCATTAAAAAAAAGGTTATTGTTTTTTATATTTATCGATGTAATTACCAGAAATCATAATTGATCATCAATAATAGATTACCTTTTCTTTTTAAAAAGATATTAACAGTTTTTAGCACTTATCTTTCTCACAAATATTATTTTTTAAGGGGATGACACCAATCTTTGATACAATCTTGAACACAATCTAATTTTTGTAAGTTTATTGTCAACAAACCAGAAAACTCCGTTTCGTATTACCATATCAGATTTTATGACATGTATCAATATGTATCATTGTATTACGATAATACAATATGTTGGTTTAACAGTGTAACATTATATATTCTATCAAAATATAGTTTAATCTACATTAACAATATTGCTTTTTCGATTTTGTTTTCATTATTTGAGGGCACTGGGATGGGAAAATAAAAAAAAAAACGCCATTGTGCTTTATCATTTCTTTCTTCAGTATATTTAAAGAAATTATTTATTTCCATGGAAATTTTTTTTTTATTTTTTTCTTTTTTATTTTTTTCGAACAAATAATTTTTTGCGCCAATAGAAATCACATTTTCTTTTTAAGAAAAATACTACTTTTTATTGATTTTTTGTACAATGGAAAAGAATTTATAATTTATTTATGATAAATATACTTTGATATGCATTTATGTATGACATCTGGGGGGCCCGTCCTCTTTCGCATATGTTTTCGTGGTACTTACTAAATTAGTTGAAATTATTTGGATTTCTTTTGATCAAAAAGAAATTTTTAATTTACCATAAATAATAATTTAGGTTTCTTTTCCAAGTTGTGTGATGTTGTGATGTCAAAATAAATACTTGTATATATATATATATATATATTTTATTTTTGGGTTATTTTTTTTGGGTGCGTTACAATTACATGCTTAAAGAATTCCCTGGGAAATAAAATTTAATCATTGGTTTGTTAAACAAAAAAAATAAAAATAAAAAATAAAAAATAAAAATAAAAATATTTGAAAAAAAAAAAAATAAATTAAAAATCAAAAAATAAATTATTATTTTTTTCAAAACATTTTAGAATCCCATTTACAAAATAATGATCATTCGTTTTTTCAGTGTCCCCGTTATTCGTAATTTTACTCGTGTAATCAATCATCAATCATTCATATGTTGTAAATAAAGACAATCTTTAATTCATTCATATTATTTGTCAGTTTAAAAAAGATATCTTATCAAATGGTTTAGTTTTTTAAGGAAACTTCTAAAAAAAGTAATTTTTCTTAACATTTATCAAAATTTAATAATTTTGGTACTAGTGTAAAATGTATTATAATTTAACAGTAAACAACCGACGACCGACAACCGACAACCAACAACCGACACAACCGACAACCGACAGCAACAACAAATAACAAATAACAAATAACAATAACTATAATAATAATAATAATAATAATAATAATAATAATAATAATAATAATAATAACGATTATAACAAAAGGATTACGAATGAAAGAGAAACGAAAGACAAATGCAAAGGTACATAATTTATCACCGTAGTAGTAGTAACACGAAAAGGTAATTGTTTATTAAAATTTCTTGCATATCAAACAAATAAAAAATATGATAAATTGAATTATAAATTCATTTCACGCGTTTATACAAATAGTGATACTTGTAATTTTTTTTGTAGATTCGAGGAAGAGGGAGAGGAGAGAAAATACTTACTTATACGGTATACGGTATACGGTATACGGTATATATACAATATGTATAATATGTATAATATGTATAACATGTTATAATAACCTATTATATGTATAAATATGTAACAATATATCAATTATATATATTAAAAAATACTAATACTAATAAAGTATTTATTATTTTAATTATTATTTATTTATTTATCAAAAAAAAGATTATTATTATAAGACTAAAAAAATTTTATCTGTTTTCTTTTTTAAGTAAATGGGAATTGAAAACATGAAATTGAGCATGAATTGATTGATTAAATAAAATATCTTTTTTTATTGATTGATTGATTTTCAAATTCTACGCCTCCTCATTCGTATTTCGTCATATGCTTTATAATTAATACTTCTTTAAAAAAAAAACAAATAAAAAACAAATGACGTACACATACACTATCGATAAAATTGGCTTTAAAGACTTCTACTATAAGTAGTAATCCTAAGTCCGAAAATTCATCACGTGAGTGAGTAATTTCGGGATATTCCATTGAAAAAAAGAGACGTATTTCAATGAACTTTATTAGTAATACTTGTTATTACTAATACTTCTTATTATTTAGTTTGAATGCGGTCTTTTATTGGTCGCTTATTTACGTGAATAATTTAAAAAAGATATGAAAAATTACGTAAAGACGCTTATTGAACTTTATCTTTTTAGCAATTCTATCCCCTTCTAATGCTTATAGAAGGCGTCGGGAATACTATAAGTAGCAATTCGGGAATTTCGTTAAATGTTGCCCACTTATCACGTGAACAATTCTTTTTAAAAAAAAATAAATAAAGGGAAAACGGATTAAATTATTTCACAAACTTTATTTTATTTATTTATTTATTTATTTATTTACTTATTATTATTAATAAGTACGTAATCTTTTCAATCGTACGATAAAAAGACATCCTCTTAAAAAATAGATGGTACAATATGTACAATATATCAATAAATTTATCTAAATAATCTCAATGAACAGTTTTAGGTAAGAAATCTTAATGTGATGCGACGCGAAAAATCGGATGCACTATAATTTTAAATCTATTTTTACTTGAATATCTTGCTTATCTAAATTTCAATTCGAATGGTTTTTCCCCTCTTTCTAATTTGTGTAAAAAAAATCTCCCCGTAATTTTTGTAAAAAGGAATTCAAGAAAAAAAAAAAAGATGCAAAGATGCAAAGGAACGATCTAGATTAGTTTTTTTAAGGAAAAAAATAAATAAATAAAAAATCGAACAATTACAATTCCGTTATCGTCCGTTTTAAATAATCGAAAACGTATTGTACATTACATTTATAGAATTTATAGATAAAAAAGATATCATTAAAAAAAAAAAAAGATATTAATTAATTAAATTACAATTACAATTACATCAAATTACATAACTTTTTCGAAAACTATTATTTGAGATATCAAAAAGTATTACTTTTTTACAAGAGAAGAAAAAAGTGTACAAAAAACAAATAATTACGTACATAAAGTCTATGAAAAGATCTAGAACTTCTTAAATATTTATGGTATGACTTGCTTTTTATTTTATCACCAAAAAAGATTCCCTGATTTCATCATTGATTTTGATTTGAAAAATAAAAAAAGGTTGTGTTGTGATTATTGACAATGATAAATTAATATTAAGGTTTGATGATCGACTCTAGTCCTTAATTTACCTTTTTCATTCATTCCCATTGGTATGAATTTTATTTTTTTATATTATACAAATATATATTTTATTATTTATATATTTATTATATATGTATATAAAATATATTTATATTTATTTTATTACATGTATATCTTTATATATATATTTTTATTTATATTTATTCTATTCTAACGTATAATGTATAATGTATAATGTATACATTTTATTTTATCGTATATTTCATATGTATATTTTATTGTATATTTTATATATTTTTATATATATTTTTACTTTATTCTCCAATTTTTTTTTTTTATTTTATTTTATACTTTAAATTTTATTTTAATTTTTTTTTTTTTATTTTAAATTTTTTTTTTTTAATTGTATTTTATTTTATTAATCGGTAACGAAACAATTGAAGATCAATTGGGAGAGAGAGAGAGAATTTTTTAAAAAAAAGGGGGTGCGAAAAA